ACGCATCAAATTTTCACTTGGTTTACGCATCAAATTTTCACTTTGTTTACGCATCAAATTTTCACTTGGTTTACGCATCAAATTTTCACTTAGTTTACGCATCGAATTTGGTTGTAGTTGATATTGATATATGTCCATAATTTATATAACTTTAACCGTATCTTGTATCTACCATTCCAGACAACATTCTTGACTGGCATTTAGTATTTTAAATATAACAATACCTGTATTAGATTTAATCACAATCCTACACAAATATTTATAAACCAAAGAAGCGGATATGTATTGATGTATTTCGATATATGTTCGTTAGTACCAACCTGTTGCCGCCATGTTAACCAGCGAATACACTCAAATTAGGCTTTTAGTTGTAAGTTTTAATATAACATAATGATTGTATGAGTGTGTGCGTACCTTCGTGCGTGCGTGCATGCGTGCAAGCATGCATGCGTGTGTGCGTACGTGCGTGCATGCGTACGTGTTTCGTGTGCAGTACAAAACCCAGTTACGCGAAGTTTATTGATAGTCACAAAGGTAACAGTGGATCAATTCGCGGCTCAAGTACAACGCTGTAACCGAATTTATTCCTTGTAATTATAATATTTCATGTAGTTTAGTTCAACATAATGATATAACATTCAGTGTCGGTACCAAAGATAATTCAATTCTAAAACATCTAACATGTGAATATTTAAAGATGCAAACATCTATCAAACGAAATTTGTTTTTATGCTATCTATAAATTGGACTTGATTGTGGGGACAAGAAACAAAAAAATAACTACAAAACTCATATTCTTGATTCTTTACACGTTGAAGTGATTTACTCTATATTTCCGTAAAGAATGTCATCTCAGTATGTTGAATGATTTGTTCAATAAATAACAATTACATAACATAGGTTAAACAAGTCTATATATTGTAGTCATGTAGTCAAAAATCTTTCGCATTCGTTGTAAATAAATTTTATATTTAAAGACTGAGAATTGATTGATATGATGAATGGTTGAGTATACTTCTTATTACATAATTGCATAGTTTTTAAAACCTCTTATTCATCAACAAGCACTTTTAGATCCGTAGTTTAATTTTATATTATAACTTTCGATGCGTATATGTTCAGTGCCAAATGACGTGGGATTCCTGATTAGAGAAGCGGGAAGCGTTCTTAAATGCATATCTCTGCTTAAATTCTTGTCTTCACGTTGAAATTATGATTGACAAATATGTGTTTGTAACGTTTGATACGTTTTCGTTAATTTTGAGATAGAATGTACACAGTTTTTTTCAAATTAATCTTATTTTGATGGTATTTGTATATTTATATGATAAAACATTTAGCATTTATAGTGTTAGTCTTATGAATGATGCGATCACATTCAATAGCTTGAGAGTCGCTTCAGGGCCTACTGTCGAAACCCTCGCCCCCTTCCACGCCTCAGAACACTGACGCAGACCAATGTTGCCAATATAACCCCAAAAATCCTCAGCACTGACTGTAAGTATTGCTGTCTCTTACATTCTCTTTGAAATAATAGAGACACCAATATAAAGACAAGTGTCACAGCTGTCAAACATCAGTGTAACGCACTGTCCAAAATAGTAAGTCTTAGCGTGTGCGTACAAACAATATCAGTAGTGTTCTGTATCAGTGTCCTACCCTCGTGTGAAAGTAAATTGTATGTGAGTGAAGACGCGCCCTCACTTGAGCAAACGCATCGTAGTTGGCTTGTAATTTATTTAAGAATCGACTTCTCTACGCGACATTATTTAAGTTAGCATACTGTGATACGGCTTTTTAATCTGTATGATGATGCTCAATATTTCATTCAGTGATTGTTATTACAATTATTGGAAAATGTTAAGGTAATTTAATAAATCACTATATTATAATATTCGAGTAGTGGCGGTTTCTTTATATTTAATATTTAAGGTTAATACTGACATATGCTAGTCTTTATTATAAATGTATTTCGTTGTAAGATTGAGAATATACGTAAGTTCTCTGAAATAAAAACGCGTACAATCCTTGAAACTATTTTAATAATCATTATATTGGAAGTAAGATTTTTGTTTGTGTAAAGTCAAAGTGTGGTTCAACGATATTGGTACCTAAATAGTACAGTCAGTGGTAACATATCAGATAAAAAAACAAGTTAATAAAATGGCCTAATTGTAATGAATGGTCATCGTGCCAAGACATTCCCGTGTTAGTTTAATGTACAATATATTGAGTATAATTTAAACTGTGCTTAATCTTATTTTTCCTATATATTTATTTGTACTATAGCTTATTTTTAGTTCAACTACGGTATACGAATTTTGGAGCTGACTGTACGTACTTTTGTTAACACGCCGATAGATTGAAATTGGATGCAGTTTGAATTTAATTAATCTTATTTAATATTTCTTGTTTTATTTTCTTGTAATTTATTGCTAATTTAGTTATGAAAGTATTTGACGTATTGATTTTTAATTGTTTTACAACCAATATACTTTTTATATTATTTTCAGTTATATGGTATTATTCTCATTTTTTATTTTATCTTTATTAATTATTATGCTACATTGTAATTTTACTATATTTAGGCTATAATGATATGCTGGATGTAAATCTTATTAGTTTGTTTTTTAATATATATCTTTGACTATGTTAACCAATTCAACGGCATCCGATTGAGATAAAGAATGGTAAGAACGATCGTGGATCCCTTTGATATTTAGCACGAAGCCTCTCGTTATCAGAAGGCTTTCTTATTAGAATTTTCGTTTTATAGTGTTAGTGCACTCTGGAGAAGTTATGCTCAAATCGGAACGAATTTAAATGAGTGCAAGACGCGGTGCCTTGTAAGAAACCCGGGCGAGACGCGTGCATTGCTAACGAGCGTTTGTGCGGATCAAAAGATATTTATTTTTATTAGTACTTTATATGAAATTGACGCGTACACACGCGTTTGTATTTATCATCGGCCATTACTATTTCCGGCTTACGCTCGTCCGCAGCCTTGGGTTTTCTAGTCGGACGTGAAACAGTATGAGGGATGTTAAACGAGTTGCTTTTCAGAGCGTATTATCACATTATTTCTCTATGGTGTATTGGAATTCGGCTGGTGACAATACTGTTATCGTAATTTAACAACGGTGGTACGGTTCTAATAGAGATATGCTGCGAAATTCATATTTTAAAGCGATAAACTTGTAGAATCACGGAATGCTAAGATCTTCCGATACTTATTGGGTTATTTTAACATTCTCTTAAGAACCACTACTTCGATCTCGATGTTATAGTTACATGTGCCGGTCGCAATATTTTCATGTACCCTTTAAATGTTAGTTTGTAGAATCCAAAGATAAAAAAAAAATTATGTGCGGATATTCAATTGTAATGGAAATAAAAGTTCATTTTGACTTGGCTTTTTATTTAAACTCCTGCTTTTACTAGATCCTTGGAATTTTAAAGCGGACCGTAGGTCTACTACGTAGAATAAAGTTACCAGCTAAAAATGAGAGTTACTAGATAAAAATATAACGAGGTTTTTTTTGCGTCCACCTGTTCCTCCTAAGTTTGAATTTCTGTCATAAAAACTACAACCGAGAGATTTGGGTAAAAATGAAACCAGTTATTCAAAAACATATTTTTATTTGATTAAATTATGTGATATATGGAATGCATTTTATTGTTATTTAATTACTATAACATATTAGAATTTGAGTTAATTAATCAATTTGTCCACAGATTTTAAATGCCTACAGTAATCTCACCAAGATTAAGATATTCTATCAACGCTTTCCAATATTTTTTTTATATAAACGCTCATAACTTCCAATCTATTAAAAATATTATAATTATTAATACTAGCGTTTTATTGATAGAAATATTAATTCCATTTTCATAGAATGGTTTTTATGAAATTGGATTTCGGTCTTATTAATTGCGATAAAGTAAGATAAATATTTAGCATCTAGTAATACATACATTTTCCTCCTGTAGACTGAAATCGCATCACGAGATTCATAACTCGAAGAAAAGAATAGAATACTTTTTCTCCCTTTGTATAATAATAGCACAAAGAGACCACATAAAGTACACCTTACACACAATCGATTACGTATAAGTGTTTTAAGCAATAATATTAAAATCTTTAATAAATATTCACCACTACTAAATGACAACGAGCATACAACAGTTAGCGTTTAGTGCAATCGCCCGTAACTTCCCTGAGCGAGGGCTTGGCAAAGCAATAAACAATTTATTCTTTCTAGCAACACACAAGTAGCAATGGATTCAACGTATTATTGAATATTTAGCTCAATAACGCTCAAGGTTTTTGACAAAATTACCAAAGTTTTTTATGATGGAATTTCAGGTCTACGTAGCCCTGATCGGTCAGTTGACTGTCGGAGTGTTGAGAAGTCGCGCTTTCAAGTTGGACACTAGCCTCGGCTTCGACAACTTTAGCGCAATCGAAAGTTAAAGTGGAAGGCCGCTCTGGGGGTTTGCTGGTGGTCTTGGCGGCCTCAATCGGGTCCTGAGATTCCAGCTTAGACGCGGGCTTCGCCACCGCTACCTCCCATCGCTCTTCGGACGTCTCGGCCTCCGCCTCCGAGATCGATGACTCTGATTCACTGCATTAAACAGTCAGAATGTTTTACTTAATGTAACTTTGTGCTACAAGGTACACGGTTCAAGTTTAAGACATTGCATTTAACAGCGCCGGGCGCTTGATTTGACAAATTAGTCAAAATAGTAAGACTTCGAAGACCAGCTGTGGTTCACTTTAGTAGAGCGTCGTATAGTGCAGTTGTAAATAGGGCTATCCCTAGCTTACTTAGCTTCCAAAAGAAAATATATGTGAGACAAAGGGACGCTTTACAAATCCAACTTAGCCGAAAGACTACACACGAGTGTTTAGTCGCAGTAATATTTTGGATGAAAAGCCTAATACTTTCAGTGCCACCGACTCCTCTTGTGAAGTCACTTGCACAACATTTTTACTGGCATCGGTCGTACTCAGTGCAAGTATTTTACGTGGTGCAATGTTGCAATAAAATAGTTTTACTGCTTTTAATATCTATCTCTGTTGGGAATTAAAACACGAAGGTTGCAAGATTTTTTCAGCTAAGTATAAGTGCAAAAGCTGATGCATACTTAACAAACATCATCTAAATGAGAATGTGAAACCTCAACCCTTTTATGTTACATAAAAGCATGTGTGCATTTTTGCTATTGGCCGTGATTACTTGTTGAATTATTTTGTACTTCTAATCTTAAGTTACTTCGGTACTTTCTTCAGTTATCTTAAAAGCATGGAAGGTCATGTGACGGAATGGAATAGGAAAATAAACAGAAAAATATCTACAAATCATACTGAAAAAATATATTTAACAAAATAAAGCTCTAAATATTGGAGCATTTAAACAACACAAAACGTTATAACATCACTTTACCAATAATACTATTCTATCAGTCTCTGTAAATCTTTAATTATTATAACTTATTTATTTACATTTAAAAATGTACAACAAAAAATCTCCATAATACCCACTAGCGGTCGTCAGCAACGAAGTAACGTTGTTATTGCGTAACTAATAAAAAAAATGGTATAGAAGTCTACAGACAGTAGACAGTGCAGTGCTTTTAAGAAATCAATAAATTCCATCAATATTTCTTTACCATCCAAAAGATTCTTAACCACAACTATTCTTTTATTATTTACATTATAAAGAGACATAAAAAATCGTCAAGGATAAAATAATTTGTAGATTTTTTTATAATTGCACTTAACAAATATGCACATTAATTTATATGTATAATTACTATTTAACTGTTATTTTTATTTATAAAAACTTCATTATCTTATGAAATACAATGAGTGTTAGTTAATGGTTATACTGAGAATTACATTACAAGAACAAATACACACTTCGGGGGAAAACAATTCTTGGGTTTATTAGTTTTTTATTCATTAATAATGAATTTTGTATGTATAGTTTATGAAGAGTAACATTAACATGCAAGTATTTACAAACATCAATAAACAACGCTTTCACACAATTTGGATACCAAAAGCTGCTAAAACTTGATCAAGCCTTTTATAATTTGCTTCATTTGTGGTATAATATGAAGGAAAAAACATAATAAAACATGCAATTTCCATGAGCTAATTATGCATATTATAATTTTGCTATTAAATCATTTACTTAATTACTAAATCTTTGAATTCCAAATTTTATTTCTTTCCAGTATAAATTTTCTATATGTCTAAAATCAATTGAAAACTAATTTGAAATTTGATTTGTTATTTTGTTTTTTTAATTATTAATATTTAGATACATTTAACTTAATTTCCTTATCTCTTGTATATTTCACAATAATATAAAATAAATACGTGGTATAAAAATAGTGCACCTAAAAAAGGTTTTTCTTTCTGGTGATGAGAAACGTCTGCTCCTTCATTAATTACAACTGAAATGCAACCAAAATAAGAAAAGCTAAATAAAAAAACAAAGTAATTTAATGTGTAAAGCTGAGAAATAGTGTGAATTAAGATTTAATAAAACAATATGCTTTAATTTGAGAAAGTCATTAGAAGCATTAATTAGGAACATTAATGAAATGACTTGGAAAAGAACATTTGTATGTTTATTTAAAAAAAATTACCTTTTCTGTGACATAGTACTTGAAGAAGAGCTCCCTCCGTGTATCACCTGCAATGCGACAGATACATAATAAGAAACTATCATCAACTTGCCCTTATCCCTTACGGAGGGTCAGCACAGTATGTGCTGCTCTTCCATACATCTCTATCAGCCTTCATATCTGAATCCACTCCTTTCTTAAGCATATCCTCTTTCACACAATCCATCCATAATTTCTTCGGTCTTCCTCTTCCTTTGTAGCCATCCACAATCATTCTTAACACTTTCTGGTTTATGTCCCCATCGTCTCGTCATATAACATGTCCACGATCCACACATCCATACCACGCTATAATAAGAAACTATATTAAAAAGAAAGTTTATAATAGGCTAACTCCTTCATGTTACGATTTTTAATCCCGGTATTTTCATTACATCATGTAATCATTGTTTATGCATGTTAAGTAATTTAAGCAAGATGTGTTTATTTGTAATTGTAGTTACATGATGCCATGTGTGTTTGGATTACTAAATAGAAATCAATGAATGTCATGTAATTATGTTGATAAGCCTAATTTAAATAATTGAATAAATAAATAAATTACTTTTCAATTAATTCTTTAATACAATATCATTTAACAAGAAATAATGAAAATTGCAGTATCTCAATAGACTATCAGGAAAAAAAACGATTTAATAAGTTAACAATTATTTACCAAAGAGAAAGGTTTATTACTAAAATTTCTACTAGAGAACAAATAATTCAAGAATAACTTAATGGTGAATTAAAGAGCTAACTAAGTAGAAGTAAATGATCTTACAGGCACATTTTATCAATACTACAGTATGAGATATTTACTTACTGCACTAACTTCACTTGCCCACCTTCGCATCACGGGATGGGGTTTTAAATCCATTTTTTCCATTGGTTTGGCCGACCTGGGGAAGTAGAGAAATTTTTAATCTATACTATTAAAAGAAAGATTAAAAAAAAACAGTAGCACATTATGCCTGTAATTTTTATTAAATGTAAAAATACTTTACCCCATAAATGGTGATTCAAAAAATTTTTCACTTATTGCGAAATTGTTCGACTGTCTTATAACTTTGTTGAAATTATAATGTTTCTTAAGGAACTCCAACATTTTTGGAGACGGCCCATCTATTGCCAGATCATATGGCTTCAACTTCTCATCCTGGACAATTGAAACATTTCAATCGCAAAAAGTGTACATTGTTTATTAATCCAATAAATCTTAATAGGAAAATATTGAAGAAAGTAATATAGCTGTTTTCAGAAACTGGACATTTGATTTATATACTTTGTTTTCTTAAATCCATGCAGGGTTTTTATTGTAAACTAATTTTAAGTATTAACATTTAACATACCTCCAACATGTAGTCAAACAACTTTTTACCGAATCCACTTCTCTGCCTATTGTCAATTACAAAGAAGTCTAAAACACACATGGGTGTAGCTATTACTAATTTATTTTGTTTGTCATATAGGAACAATTTTTTCATGCCAATTTTTAATATGCCAATCACTTCGCCAGCTCCCCTAAAAAGAAGGTTTTTAAACAAAATTGAATGTTACTACTTAAATTGTAGTCACCAAAATATGTTCCTGTTACATTTTTCATTCTTGTTACATTGTGGTCTATACTGTTCAATATATCTATGCTGTTTTACTATTTTACTACTATTATAAATGTGACAGTTCAGATGGATCAATGGATGTTTGTTAGTTTGTAGCCTATATGGCTGAAGGGATCGCTGTGAAATTTGGCATAGACATAGATAATAGTCTAAAAGTATGAATAGGGTGCACTTTAGTTTCTTTTATAATCTGTCTAAATAATTTAGATTAGTTTGACAATTCACTTCAAATTTAGTAGGGATGGTTGTGTAAAATCAGTTATGAATCTCATCTATTTTGTATTTTTATTCTTATAGAAGTTGGAATCAATAGATTTATAGTTATAACTTATGAATTAAAAAAAAACACTGCATTCTCAAATTAATAATGACCATAACAAATAATGAGCGTAAATAAATGTTTATTACTACTACAGCCATACGTAATCGAATTGGATTTCGCTATATTTTCTGTCACTGCTAAATTCTCTGCACTATAATCAATACTAGAATTGTCCTTTAAATTAGTTAATAAGATAATAATTTTAATTGAGTTTGATAATTATTTAAACCGAATATCGATAGTTCAAAATTGTTCGCTATGCGTGTTTGTTTCGTCACTATAATACCTGTCTATTAAGTATGGCATTTGCTTTCATACAAATTGAATTCGATACTTCATATGCGTCATTTATCAAACTAATCTATCTTATTTAGACAAACTATAATTACATTCAGACGGTGTCAAAAGCTAATATTTAAAAAAGTGATAAGTTGCAACCTGAAGTAATCAATTTTCATTGGTCGTTCTCTATGCCCTTGTTGGATAAATGTTTTAAATCATTAACACAAACTAAGATAAACAAACTTACCCATTACCCTTTTCATCTTTAAGAATATAAAGTTTGTTATTTGGTGAAAGAAGTAGTTTTTCAAGGGTAGTTATATTCTTTTTTAAACCCTGAGCTTTGGTTGACATTTGGCCTATACTATTGATAATTTCCTCCAGACTAAAAAACTTCACCCTGAAAAAGTTATTTAATGTGCTCATTTTGTGTAGGATATGCATAATTTAATTTCTTGTAGATAGCAGAAAAGAAATGTAATGAAACAATATCTTGTATGGAAATTCATAAGTATACAATCTTTACAATTTTGACAGGAAGTCCTTTAAAAAGATCTGATAAGCATAGAGTTAAAATTAACTTTTGGAGGTGAGAACTACTAGCCGCCAGCCCACCTTCATTCATTGGTTCATATAGTACATTGCAGTAAGCCATTACCTGCCAATTTAGTTGTTGAGATGCATCTTCTTAACAGTTCAAGCCTATGTGATCTGAACTTTAGGCCAGATAGTGGTAAAGCTCACTTAACATCTTCGCAAGAATGGGCCGGCTGGCTCGACATAATACCACAACCACACAGAAGACAGGAGTGAAGTAGGAGCAATTCCATGTTTTGTCTGATAAGTGTGGTGCCAGAGTTTTGGTATGTTTCCAGTCTGTACCATTGCTAATAACGCAACAATGGTCAGATATACACGCACCCTATCACATATGGCTCAAAGCTATATATAAAATAGACTATCAACCAAATTTTGATATAAAGAACGGGATTCTCGGTTTTCTTTTTCGGAAACAGTTTCGTGACCTTGCCGTTTCTTTTGAGCTCAAAACTATAATTTTAGCTAGCAATGTTACTAATAGAGGAAATCCCGAACTGTTGTGGGCCATCTTGCGATTTCTATTTGACTGACAATTGATATTGTAAAGTCCTTTTCTTCCAGAGAGTCTTGATCAAATAGACAATAATTTAGAATTTACGAGTAAAATCGTTTCGTTTTACGCCGGTTGCACACGTGGCGGGTCACAAGCAAAACGTAAGTCTGTTCTGTGCGTATAGTTTATTAAAATATTTACAAGCTTCAAGCAACCGGCATTTCTTTGTTGAAGATGTCCAGTAAATGCGTACAAAAAAGGCTAAAATATTTAACACTTACCTTGCTTCTTCATCAAAATATCGGCCGCGTCCTGGAATATCCGCGGCCGTAATCGTGGAAATATCTTTCTTAAATAGATCATTAACTGATAGTAAGTTTGGGGTATTCATTATAGTTAACGAATAGCTAGAAAAACTCACAATTCACAAGCACAAAATACTTTTTAAAAGAGATATTACGATCTGCAACATAGATAATACAAATATATATTATATACTGAGATCATAGATAATACATAATATACTGAGATCAGTGTTGCCAATACCTGGCCGTGTACTTCGTGTATAGTTTGTCTAAATAAGATAGATTAGTTTGATAAATGACGTATATAAGTATCGAATTCAATTTCTATGAATATAAATGCCATACTTAATAAACAGGTATCATAGTGGCGACAAACACGCATAGCGAACAATTTGGAACTATCGATATTCGGTTTAAATAAATATCGAACTCGATTAATTTATTATATTCTTATTAACCTTTCCTATAGGAAAATTCTAGTATTGATTATAGTCTAGAGAATTTAGCGATGACAGAAATAATAGCGAAATCGATTCGATTACGGACGGCTATAGTAGTAATAAACATTTATTTAAGCTCATTATTTGTTATGGTCATTATTAATTTGAGAAAACAGTGTTTTTTTTTTAAATCCATAAGTTTTAACTATAAATCTACAAAATCTAATCTAATCTAAAAAAAATCGATAATCGATAAGAATCATGAGATTTTACACAACCATCCCTACTAAACTTGAAGTGAATTGTCAAACTAATCTAAATTAGACACAGTGTAATAAAGCCGTGTTTGTATAGGAAAAGATTATCAGAGCCTTAGCACCATCAACTAAAACAAGAAATTAGTAGTAAAACTTTAGTTAAATATCGCTATTTTAACGTTTAAAACCAGTGAACTGTGTTAAAATTGTCTCTCCTTTAATTTATAAAATCGCAAATAATTTATTTGAATTTTATTATTCCCGGTACAAATCATAGTTATTCCACAACTATTTTTATTCAGTGAAAATAAATTTATTAAAGAAAAACAATAGATCTTCAAAAAGCCGTAGATTTTGCTGCGGCCTTATTGCTGCGATGGTTTATACAAAAGTTAACAATTTTCGAATAACCTTGATTTTGTTTTATTTTTAAACGAGTCAAAAGCATCACATCGAACAATTAAAAAAACAAGCAAAACTAACTTAATTTTTTATTCAGATTTATACAAACCATTAAACACCGTCTATTTTACAATATAAAAAACATCAGATATCTGTCCAAATTAAGCAATGCAAGGTAAAGAACTATTATTTTAATATTTTTTCGAGGTTCTCATCAACTGAATTGCCTTAAAAACAAAAAAAAAATTTATGGATCTTGCCTGCAGATTTTATTAAAAACATGCCCAATTTCTGAGCTTTCCATGAATATATAATAACTTGGAACTTGTTCAGTCATCCTGCCCATCAGACTGTGCTACTTTCTGTTGTGTGTTTGTTTATTTAGACATTGGAAGTAGCAAGGATTACATATTTTGTATTAAACAAGGTAGTTAAAAACAAAAATTTGCTATCATTCAATGCTTTATTAATTTACTTGGATATAACAGATTTTACAATTTTTAAAACAAAAAACATAAGTAAAAACATCGTTATTTTGATATATCCAAATCCTAAAGAATAATGTAATTAAAAATAGTAAAAGCAACAAATGAAAGTAACAATTTATCTGTTCTTATAATAATCGGTTTATCGATATTTTGAAATATCGCCGATTCGTTACAAATAATTGACATGATATAACAAATATTACAATTAAACATTGAACCATTATAAGGCAATTTAGTAATTTATTGTATTACTTTTTACATTACGTAATTAAATAAAAAAAACAACCTTTATTGACAAACACTTTAGAACTATGTATATATGTTGTGTAAAAACGATTGTACTTATTAAAACATACTGATGATTGATCATAATTTTTTTTTAACAACAAATAGATATTATCTGGGACACTGAGAAATGGCTAAGTTTATTTTTATAAAAATCGTGAAATAGTTGGAATAATGGAGCATGATCAGTCTTAAATGTTACAATGAGATCGATATTTATAAAATTAAGGTAAGCTTTTACTAACTTAAGAAATTTAAATATCAATTAAAATTATTTTAACAAATAATAAATAAAATATCTTTGGCCACATCAGTGTAAATGTAATAAAAACATGTACATAATTTGTTTTATCATATATCACATTTTGATTAAGAGATCACTTTATTTCGATTGTTTATTCTATAAGCCTTAAAGAACTATTTCACTCATAAGCTGTATCATGTAATTATGTAGTATTCAGCCCTTTATTTCGTTTTATATTAATTCAAATTGTTAGGCCAAATTGATATCTAAATAATCTAAATATAAATACAAATAAGAAATTAACAATAATATAAAAATTAACAACGACCGACTATAGTGCATCAACACTTACGGTCTGAATTCTATCAGCAAATAAACATAGAATAGTAGAGTAAGCAAATATTAGTAATAATTTAACTTCATACCGCATTTATTTGTAATATAATATTAAATTCACAAAAAAAAAAAAATTGCTTTAAAGATCATATTTCAAGTATAATTTTGTTTATGTATGTATAAGTACAATAAAATTAATAAATTTTTTACTACAAAACTTTTTTCTGTTTAGTATTTGACTTATACACTAATAAAATTTGTAAATCAATCAAAAAAAAAAAACAAAACACGCTTTAGACTTGCAAACATAAGGAACAATTAGGCAATCTTGACACCAAGAGTAAATTATAGTTTACAAACAGTGCATGCATTTCAAGAAAGGTTTGGGACACTTTTGTTCAATTTTTTCATTAAAATTGCCTTTTCTTTGACACAGAGCTAGAAATGCTGCCCCCGTGGATCACCTGCGATATAACACACATATTACTAAAAACATTGTAATTGGTGGAATAAATAACTTTCTTATGAAGATTGATTAAACTAGCTTTTCAGTGTTTTGAAAAGAAGTTTTTGGTACTGGCAATTATCAAGATGCTTACAAATCTGAAATGCTTTAAAACATATTGTCGATAAATCGACTATTTCTATTTTGATGGGACTTAATAGAAGGTAATTTTGATAGTTACCGCGCCGATTTCACTTGACCATTCTTTCAAAGGTGGACGGCGAGTAGGCTCTGTATTTTGTAACCCGGGTGTGCTAGAAAGATATAAAAAAACAAATTCATATTAATAGACACAAAACATCTTACAAATGGTATATGGTACAATTATTAGCAGTCAAACGTTTGTCAAACATGCTTAAACAATACTGTTATCCACACATTAATGGAAAGTTTCTGTCACACCCATTTTGCAATTTCAATTTACGCAGTAAAGAATGGGATTTATTTCCTTTTAAATAATTCATCAGTGTTTAGACATAACATTTCTATGCATGGATTAGATTTTAAAATAGCAAACTGTTAAAAATTATATAATAAAACAAGTAGAGTAACATTATTCTCTAACACTTATCTAGCCTCTACTATATTCATACAATACATGCATGGTAAAGGTTTCTAATCCTCAAAATCCTCATTTTACACATGCTGTAACATTAAGATGGCTAGTAGTAGTATTAATAAAGAAACGGCGTGATATACTCCGGGCCTGTCCCACCAATGGCTGATAGAGGGTCCGATAGCTTAAAATAACGTCACTGTCAGATAGGGTACCAAAATCCGATATTTTCATCACATATTTTACATGTTACTATATTTTACATGATTTACAATTTGGTGGGACAGGCCAGAAATGTGCCTAATTAAAAACAGAATTTGTAGAATTAAGTAATTCAAATTACCATCTCTGTGAAAATGTTCTTGCGGAATAGCTGTTGCCATGTATCACCTGCAAGGCAACAGATACAAACATATGTATGTATTCATTACAGTCAATGCTAATTTATTCAAAAAAACTGTTTCGGAAAATTATAACACATTGAATTAAAGTGGCTAGCATCTTGTCAATATAAGATTATTACTTACTGCTCCGGCTTCGCTTCTGGGATGGGGTGTTGGTAATACTTCATCTTGTGGCCTGGCTGACCTGCGGTCAATTGGGCAAAAACAAATTGAACTATAATACAAATTCCTAACTTATTATTTCTAAAAAGATAAAATAATTAGTGAAGAATCAAATTTCGGTTTGTGTTTAGGCACAGTTTCGACTAAAAATCTAGTTACCGCTACACTAAACTTCACTTCAGCACATTATCGTATTTCGTATGTTTCGGTTTCGGTCAAAATAGAAATCAAAGCCGAAAGTTCTGTTTCGGATTCAATTTAAAGACCAGTTACGATAGAACACTTAAAATATAAGACATTACTACATTTTGCTTCTATTTGAAGAATTACTTTACTTAAAGTATATCTTACCCTGTGTTTGCAGACTCGAAAAATTTGTCACATACTGCAAAATTGTTGGATTGTTTGAGAACTTCGTTGAAGTTATAGTGCTTTTTGAGGAACTGCAACATTTTTAGAGATGGCCCATCTATTGCTAGCTCATATGGCTTTAACTTCTGATCCTGATCAATTCAGAAAAACATTAAAATCAAAAGAGTATTCTGTATTAATACACTAAATTTTTATAGAAAATATTGAATAAACAAATAAATAATTATATAATTACTCTTAGCAAATCATTTAACATACCTCTAACATGAAGTCAAACAGTTTTTTGCCAAATCCCTGTCTTTGCCTATTTTCGACTACATAAAAATCTAAAACGCACATAGGTGTAGTGATTGATAATTTTCCTTTCCTGCTGTGTAAGAACAATTGCTTAGGGCCAATTTTTAGCATTCCTAACACTTCACCGGCACCCCTTGAAAAAAAAAACAATCATGTTACACAAAATTGTCATTAAACAATTGTTGAGGTATATGTAAGCAAAATCAACTGGAATATATGATTCAGTATTTTTCTCGCCAGTCAATAGTATCAGTATTATAGTTTGTCTGATTAAGGTTGATTAGTTTGATACATCACACATATCATCATTATCATCATCTCCCCTGCCTTATCCTACTCCCGTAAGGTCGGCGCACCGGGTTTTCGTCGTCCAACGCACTCTATCATCCGTCATCTCAGTCATCACTCCCTTCTTGATCATGTCACCTTTCACACAATCCATCCGTAGCGGATAGAACAAGAGAGGGTAGATTTGAAATTGCTCCATAGACAATGCCATATGTAGTCTATGTACTCTTCCAAACTATGATATACATGTGTGCCAAGTCCTAATAAGATTCATTAAGTCACTAGGGAGATACATAGTAGCAGGCATTCATCCATTCATCTATACTTTTGCATTTATAATATTAGTAAGATGTCAAACTTACCCATTACCCTTTTCATCTTTAAGAATGTAAAGTTTGTTATTCGGTGATATAGAGAGTTTTTCTAAGGAAGTAAGAGATTTTTTTAAACCTTGAGCTTTAGCAGACATTTGCCCTATAGTATTAATAATTTCCTCCAGGCTGAAAAACTTTAGCCTGGAAAAACATTTTATGTGGCGTTATTAAATATGTCTATTTTATTAATTTTGTAACGATATTCAGCAGTAAAAATAAATAAAAGCTACTTTGTGTTAAACAGGGTGCGTTATGTTGCTGGTTACAAAGAAAAAAAAGATAAACGTGTGTTTATTTAGCTGTACTCAAAACTAATATATTTGCAATCTGCAAAAACAAACTGCATTTGTATTTTTAGACTTACCTCGAATCTTTGTCAAAGTACCTCCCTCTGAGCGAAAAATCCGCCACCGTAATTATTGAAATATTGTCCTTAAATAAATCATTAACAGATGAAAACACAGTGTTACTCATTTTCCTTTTTAGTTAACTGAAAACAATAGATTAAATATAGCAATAAATTAAATATAACAATAAATAACTTTAACAATAAACGACGGAAACGAAATGACTGGAAATGACCGTTGATGACCGCTTCAGGCTTCAACTTCATGCCAACTGGCCAAAGAGTATGTAACGACATCTAAATGCGAAGTAGAAAAGAGTTTAATGCCTATTATGTTCTAAGAGTATTTTAAGATAATGACAGTGATTGTTTTATAGGGGCACCATGGATGAATTACTAGAACAGGATTGAGCTGTTGTCGAAAAATTGACGCCGAGCGATACCTCAATAACTGTCCGTTCTATCCCTCTCTGGCCATGGTGACTATGTTAAAATATGATTTAAGGATGAATATTATAAAAAACCTTATTTTTGTTTGACGTAAGCTGATTATTGCATTATTATTAGTGTTTATCACACATTTATCTTTATTTCTTATTTTCTACATAATACATTTTATAAGATTTTTATAAAAATAAAATAAAACATATTTTATAAAAATAATAGAGCACCACCGGCTGCGGAATCCAATGACTCAACCACCCAGTGGTCAGGGCTGCAGAGACAGGTACCTTCTCACTATGCGTGCGGCTTCTAAAATAACTGCCTTTTTAATCGGGCCCTTAATCCAACTATCTAGCGAGAGCTTCTTGAGATTATTATTATGTATTAGTGTTATCATTAATGTATTTATTAAAAGTAATACAAAATACTAATTCAGTCATTACTATATAAGTCTTGTAAAGTTTATCTCACAAACCTATGTTATTCCTTATATCTTAAATTAAAACAAAGTTATTTTAATAGAGAAAGGAAGAAATAAATGTATAAGAGTTTGTTATTTGTTCTTGCACTAGAATTGGATAGTCTTGCATGGTCACCGTAATTCTTCACCAATAAATTATGTTTAAAACTATTACGTGTGAAAATATAACGAACAATCAGCATAACACTCGCTTCGGTTAGCCTCCACGACACAAATTCTTCCCATTTTAACTAAAATTTTTCAAAAAGTCATGAAATCAAAAAAGCCTCCGCCATTAATGTCCAAGTCGGGATGTCATATGGGGTTGTCAGTTCAGGTGTCCGAATTTAGACAAATAAAAGAAAACCTGTACGGCGCCTGCATTTCATCAATTACCTATTTTTCTACAAACAACGAAAGGATTGATATCTGGCAACTCTAAGTCACTGTTAGAAAGGGAAATGTCGGACACTTGTAGCCCTCTCACTCTTTCTAATTTTATTTTGCGTGCACCAAGACACTTACGCCCTTAGCATAAGGTGATATTTTTCTTTATTTTAACTGCAAGATGTAGATAGAATACACTCCTGTTGTACACAAAGATATAAAATACTTGTTATAGTGTGTCTAAATAATTTAGATTAGATTGACAATTCACTTCAAATTTAGATGGGATGCGTTGTGTATTTGTCATGAATCTTATCGATTTTCGATTTTTATTCTTACAGACGTTGGAATCGATAGATTTATAGTTATGACTTATGAAATAAAAAAAAAACACTGTTTTCTCAAATTAATATTGACCATAACAAATAATGAGAGTAAATAAACGTTTATTACTACTACAGACGTACGTAATCGAATTGGATTTCGCTATAATTTCTGTCATCGCTAAATTCTCTACACTATAATCAATAGTAGAATTGTCCTCTAAATTAGTGAATAAGTAAGTAATAATTTTAGTGGAGTTTGATAATTATTTAAACCGACCGAATATCGATAGCTCAAAATTGTTCGCTATGTGTGCTTGTTCGTCACTACGATACCTGTCTATTAAGTTTGGCATTAGATTTCATACAAATTGAATTCGATACTTAATATGCGAAATTTATCAAACTGATCTATCTTATTTAGACAAACTATACCTCCATATTTATTTCATCTCGAAAGTGTTGATATTTTTCTTTGTACTTTATTTGGTACTAAATGGTAGTTACCTTCTTGTTTATAATATAGACTTAGACAAAATTAGCGACAATGATTACCGACAAATTATTAATAAATAATACAATGTCACTGGTTGCAACTTTTATTAAATACAAAAATGGAACATGTATGTTAGTAAAGGTTGTTTGGCACAATAGGCTACATTGTACATGCAAAATAAGAAATATTTTTTCAAAAAAAGAATATCGCGTCTACCATTAGAAAAGTCCATAATAACAAAAACAAGCCGTAGTGCAAGTGTACATATTAACATAAGATCAAATAGCTATAATTTATGTAAAACGAAGAGAGCAATACTATACAAATATCTTAAACAGTCCATTTTCTAAATCTCTGGCTTTTTCAATACATTAAACATGTTCAAAACATATTCTCAGATTCTATTGGAAAACTACATTGAACACAATGTAAGTATATCTTTTTTTAAAGTGGTACCTCATTAATATTCTTATACTAACAAGAGTTCTAAATTAAAAATAATTTAACATATCACAACCTAGTGAAAACAATTAAACAAAAATATTCATACATTCAGTGATGCAGCGTACAATGAGGTACATTTGTTTTGTCCAAATTCATATGATTATCTAATTCATTACAAGCATAATATAAGAAAAAAATATATATATCTTAAAAACAATATACCTTGTCTAATGTCAGCTACAAAATGTAATAAAGATTTCACGGGAAATACAGAAAAACAAGATAATGAACTTATACTAGACAAGGTTTGATATATCTATTCTTTGAGCACCTTTATAAAATTTCAGCATATAGTATAGCAAAATGACTAAGAAAAACATACATATTTAGTTAAAAGAAATAACAATTGAGTAACTTATTAATTAGAGAGAATTAATTTAAGATTCAATTTTCAGATCTAAGAGGATATTTAAAATTAAATTTACAGAATAACATTTATAGCTTATTAAATCTATCTTGGTTAGTACATCAATAAAAAAAGCCATATTAATTCAGAAAAAAAACAATTTAGCCAGTTTTTATTTTATTTTCTATATTCTACCATAAATAAGAACCAATACTAGTGGTCGGTTAATACAACCTCTTTGGCTGATGAGTGTGAATACAGCCAAAGAGGTTGAATACTGGCCACCGAGACATTCCACGGTTTTAGAGAAGATATAGGAGAGATAGAGAGACGCGGACAAGATGTAGTCGCGACATAGTTTTACAATTTGTAAATATGTAAATAAATTTAAATAAAGTTACTTTAATTAGATGGATTTTTTGTTTTGCATCTTCGGCTGCCGCACTGTCGGTCATAATTTAAACAACTAGATTGCAAGTCATATAGATTAGTGAAGTTTAAAAGCTTTATATTATATTTAACATTATCATAGCATGTAAATGTTAATAAAAGTTTAATTGCAACACTTTCTTCTTTAAAAACGAAGTTTGGTTTTGATATTTTTAATATTTAGAAAAGCATGTCGGGAAAAGCAAATATAATTAAAAATGTTCTTACATTAAAAATACATAGGGACTACTGAAATTGTGACATAATAGACTGGCAGTGTTTGAAGGTTCACGTAATGTCTCGAAATAAATCATTCCCCCTTATCATCTTCGACCGCCGACAGGAACAATTTCTGACACGTGTGGGTGAATTTGGCTAAAAAAAACATACAGACGAATTGAGTACCTCCTTCTTTTGGGAAGTCGGTCAATAATACAATATTATTATTCAATATTATTATTATTAGGTTCGGTCATTGAAACCTACGATTAGGATTTTAAAATATTAATTGAATTTTTCTATCAAGAAAGTTTACAAAATGACAACATATAAAACCACTCTTCTTTAGTTTTTATATTAATAAGTAAGGCCAGTAAACACTTAATACAATGTAACTATGAACAAATATCTCTACAAGTAACAAATGCCATTTGTCGAGTACAAAGAGCGGCGTACACATCATGTAAAAACTAGCTTTCGCCCGCGACTCCGTCTTGTGAATTAAAAAAGTCAGTACCCTACGTGTTCTTCCAGACTAATATGCTACAAACTCTAACCAACATTCATCCATCTAGACTTTCGCATTTATATTAGTAGGATGAATGTTTGTCATCGGCATTTTTCCCGTTGGATCCATTGATTGTATTGATTCGATCGGTCCAATGGGAAACCCTCGAATATAGTTTATCTATACTTTCTATATTTATACTGAATAGAGAAAAGATTTATATTTTTATCTGTATTGAAATAATTCAAAAACTGCAAACAAAATTCTTTCACCATTAAAAAGCTACGTTATGACTGAGTACCATTTTATTTTATTATTTTTTTATTTCACCCGGACGAAGTCGCGAGCGACAGCTAGTTAGTATAGATATATACATACTGGAAATATTTAGTAGGAATTGCGGTGGGCGGCGCACTAGAATGAGGTATGCGGGTACGCCGGTGAGAGTGATGAGTGCGCCCGCCGCCACCGCCCGCGGCTCGCTCCACGCCGGCACCACGAGCAGCGCCGCGCTCGTCAACACGAACACACCCGGCATCCATAAACTCACCTATACACAACAGAAAATCAATGATGAATGTACACTTTAATATAATGTAAACAACCTCCTTTCATCATCATCCTCTTTATCCGAGTCCCGTAGGGTCGGCACAACAGGTTTTTGTCTCCGAAATAACTCTACCATACGTCATCTCAGTCATCACTCCCTTTTTGATCTTGTCACCTTTCACGCAATCCATCCATCTCTTCCTAGATTTGTTCTCCTTTGTTATAAAGGATATCAGAAATCACAGTATATTTTTGAATATTGAAAAATACTTTTTTTTTTAAAAGACCTACACTTTCGATAAGCTTTAAGCTACATACTTTCACGCTATTTATTTAGGGGTGAATAAATAGGGAAAAAAACATGAGGGAAAGGAACAAAAACTACAATGCTGTTAATAGCGAAGCAGTATTGTTAGCGAATAGCAAAGACCTTCGTTGTCATTTATGCATTTGAATTTTGGCAATTGAATGATTTTACAAACGTAAAAAACATAACAGTTAGTTCACAAATAACCATGTTACATGATATTTGTTATAAATCTTACTAATACTAATATTATGTATTAGTAAAATATAAATGCGAAAGTTTAGATGGATGGATATTTGTTAGATTTTGTAGCCTAAACTGCAAGAGGGATCTCAATGAAATTTTGAAAAAATGTAGAGGACAGTCTGGAAGAACACATAGGCTACTTACTTTTGTTTATTTATTCCACACTAACGGAGTCGCGTGAAAGCTAGTTCCTTATAATCAATGGTAGAAACTTGCCTTGATCGGTCTCGGTAAATGCGGCTTCTTGTAACGCAACCAAAGCACGGCGCTGCAACTGAGCGTTGTGAAGAAGGACTCTACCACCGTACAGTATGTGATCAACGATGTCAAGCTATCAGGGATCAGCATGATCAGAGATATCAACATCTGTAAAGGAAAAGGGCACAATTACAAAAAAGGCTTCCAAAGTAATTGGTTTTAGTTCACTTGTATGAATGTTTTTTTTTTATATCATAAGGCGGCAAACGGGCGAGCGGCAACCCGAATTTGTCGAGAAAGCGAAGCGTTCGCTGCCCATATACACCCGGAATTGCAGATGCGTTGCCTACACTTAATCAACGGAGAAGGAAACGTACATAAAGTGGATATTTTCCTTCCTATGCGTCTCCTTCACCGTCAAATCCACTTTTCCGTATAAAAAATGTTGAGAAGGGAAAGCGTTTAAAATGAAGCCATTAGAAAGGGTTAAAATCGTAGTGACCAGAAAAACGAGTGATGGTAGAGGTGACATGCAGGCCACATTGATGTGTGCGAGCAATTCGGGCATGTGTCCGTTGCGGGCGCCGGCGAAGCACATGCGCGATGACGTCATCACGTGCACCGACAGCCCGCCCAGCACCGCCAGCGCCACCAGCGCCGGCATGCACCACCGCAGCCATCCCAGCGACGCGACCGCAAAGTCCTACCACATACAAAATACATTAGATGGCTTTAACAAACATTAATACAAATCAGTTTTTTTTATATCAAACTTTTCATTTATGAGCAAATTGTCAAGGTCCCTTTTTTAAAAAATTAAGTTGTACTTATTTGGTGATTATGATGGAACAGTTGTATGATATATACAAGCTTTCGCCTGCGTAGAATTATAAAAAAATAAAAGTGGGTAGCCTATTATATGTGTTTTTCCAGACTTTCCTCTACATCTATGCCAAAACTTCATCGACATACCTTCAGCCGTTTAGACTACAAACTTTTTCAAAAACCCATCCATCCATCTAATCTTTCTTACATCTAATATTAGTAAGATTACTTACAACAGCAATAGCATCTGTAGCTCTAACTCCGATCGGTCCCAAAACCGCTAGATACGATAAATTGGCAAGAAGATAGATACCAGTAACCATAGGCAGCGAGATATAGATAGCTCGGGGTAGGTTCACAAATGGTTCTCTTAACTCTTCAGTCATGAAATTCAAGTAGTTCCTATAATGTAAATAATATTAAAGAAAAGACAGCAAAGGTATACAACAGTTTGTTATTGTAAAAACCTTACCATCCAGAGTAAGAAAATATCCCGGAGTAAAATGCTACCGACCAGTCACTGGCAGATGTTTTTGTTCCAGCCCAGCCATCTTGAAAATGTTCCACTTTACCTACAATACATTTTGTGATGGTTATAATTATTAAAAATATTTTTTAGCACACATAGTGCCACCATACCATAGTCACATAAAGAAGCCATAATGGCTTGGCAGGCAATAAGTTTACAATTTTAAATGCATTAAAGCAGACAAAACTTATTAAATAATTGTGTATTTATATTAAAACAGACAAAAACAGGATGTAAATACCTAATTTTACATTTAAAAGTAATAACAATACCTTGAGCCATCCATACTATTCCTCCGATGATAATAACAATAAGAGCTGAGATCTTTGTAAACATGAAAATGTTCTGGAGACGAGTTGTAAACTTAACATCATATGCATTAATGAATGTTAGAAAACCTGAAACAAACCTGGTTATTAGTGATTTAAAATCCTGGAATGCTACAAAAGTAGTTTCAACTGAGAATGAACAACTTTACTGCATACTAATTAGCTGGTATTGCCGCAGCTCTTTACTAGTAGATCTATATATAAGGAGCCATTGCTGGTTTACATGTAGAGTTGGTTAACCTTGAAAAATTCATCAGATACACATAATCTGGACATCAAACGAGGTACAGACAAATATTGTACTTTCATCAAATGAATATAAAGAATGATATAAGTGTTAGTGTCATTTATGTGTGTCTCCTTTTCCGTCGATTAAGGGTAGGCAACGCATCTGGAATTGCAGATGTCTATGGGCATAGGTCTCGCCATCGGCGGATTAAGGTGGCCACTTGCACATTTGCCACCTTATAATACAAAAAAAATCACAGTAATGGGGATCACAAAAATCTACCAGTAAATTAGCGGCTCATCATCCCTATGGCTATATTTCATTTATGAAATTATATGAATTGCATAATACTTATGCAACCTATTTTCTTACTTACAAATAGTTACTGCAGCTATAAGTTTTTTGCTCCAAGGATCAATTGTGCAGTTTGGAAAAATTGGCTCCAATATATTGTTTGCAAATGTTAATGACATTATTGCATTTGTACTGGGCCTACAAAGACGAGAGTTATTTTTGTTGAGTTATTTCATACTAAAGTTATTAATTTATTACATTACTCAATTAATAATTAGATGTGATAAACAATGTTAAAAAAGAAAATACAAAGCTTATATAAAAATATTAGTAATCTACAAACAAAAATTATGTTGATATTCCCAAATTTTCTTTTTGCTGCATTTGTACTCATTACATTGCACACCCGAAGGGGTACTATTTGTTGTTACTTTATGTAGATGTATATATCATAGGTTAGACTGGCACAACATTAGTGATAAAACAGTGTGTTAGCCTGAATACAATTCGACCATGGATTGAATTAGCCTAATGGGAATTAACTCCTAAAGGGTTGATATGATTTAACAGTTGATCGGCTTAACAAGTAACACCCATAACACATCTACATCATATAACACACCTTTTATATTCAAATAAGAGAGATAGCTAATTTAATGTTTTGACAATAGCAATGAGCAAGCAAGCAAAATAACCCAAGTATATCAGTTGTTTAAGCATTTGACTTGTAATCTATAGGTCTTGGGTTCTAATCCCATCATGTACCAATTTTCTTTTCTTCCTCTTCTTCTTACGGTGAAGGAAAACATTGTGATGCAAAGTGCACATATCGGCAAAGAAATTCAAAGATATGTGTAAAGTCAACCAACCCGCAGTGGGCCAGTGTGATTAACTATGGCCTAGTCACCCTAACTCAGGGTAGGCTCTGAGCCTCGCTCAGAGGCTCTGAGCCTCTGAGCCCCTCGGTGGGGACATATAGTGAGCTGGTGATGATAAAATATGCTTGTATTTTCAGTGATGGCTGGTGGACATGGAGTGCACTCCTGAATGACCAACATAATTGGTATTTAAAATTAAAGATACAATATAACCATACTACTACAATAAAACTAGAATAAAGTCACTTCATATTTTGCAACATTTCTTTTTATTTTTTTATAATTAAATTCTGATGGTACATTACATGAGTGCATTTAAGTACAAGCTCCCACAGTTTAAAAGTTTAACACTAATTTAGGTAAATCTTGCCCAGGAATAATGAAATTAGCTAGGTAGCTAGCTAATTTTGTGTACTTCAGACTTGACCGCCAAACATTATTGGTAATGTGTATTGTGTATAACATTTGGGATGTACAGGGGAAAAAGCTATAGATTTCTTTGAATGTGTGTTGAAATATTTAGATTGCGATATTCTAGGAAAACATGCAGAGGGGAAATTATAATATATTTAAAGCAAAACAGTAAGTATGTGTATTGACATATGACATTTGCTTGTAAACAAGTTGCACTTACACAAAAATAAGGTTTGCATCCCACAGGTAAAGAAAAGCAGGCAATGGTCCAAATGCTTCATTTATATAATGGTAATCGCCACCACTTTGCGCCAGAGTTGTGCCTTTGGAGATGATGTGAGATTTTTTTTATAATTTTATATATGCAACATAATTGTTAGTCACATTTAACACAGACCAGGACTTCTATATAATTATTAGCCCATAAACATATCAGTATGTGTGAAAATGACATTTAAACAGCACATACATATACTTGTGGCTTAAATGTGTAAACTTTTGTTCATGTACATCCTCATCAAGTGGCTTGAGACTGTCCAAAGTGAGGGTTGAATGCAGTTTTATCCTCATATATTTTTTGTTAGTTATGAGATTGCAATCGAATATAAAAATTAATAAAATTTGTTGTAACTTGTTATCGACAAATCTCCAATAATGAATTGTATTAATGAGAAAACTTTTCGAAATTTTTCACTTGTGTATTTATTTAATGTGTAGTAAGTTGTCTTCTAATTATTCTAAAATATATGTGTATCTATGATTATGTTAGAACCAGAAAAGCGGTATACTTTAGTGAAAAGCCCAAATACCTACCCACATAAAAAATAAAAAAAGATGGTACTGACCCAGTTCAGCATATGACATGGCACCCAAAGTTGCCAAAATTCCGCAGATGCCCCATACGGTTAATGCTCCCCACACTGACCCGGTTTTTTCTAAAACTTCCTTGGGCGAAATGAAAATACCACTACCAAAAATTATACCTAATATAATAGCGACACCTTCTAGCAACCCTAATTGTTTGCGCATTTTAACCCGTTCCTCACTCATTTTATTGATTTTGTCTAACTACGAAACAAGGAATAATAATGGTTTGCAAAACTTCTATGATACTTGAACGTGTAATAGATGAAGTTAACCTACATTGACTCGCGAGTAATTGACCTTTCACATTTTTAATTATACGTTTAAATTTGACTTAGCAGTAACAATAATTATAACGAATAACTGTCAAAATAAATTACGCTAAAAGTATAACATTAAATTAATAAACATTGTAAAAGTTTTGCAAATCGCGATCATGCACGATTGTCAAAACAAAACGTCAAAAATGAGTGACATATTATGTGTATCCATAGATTAAATATATAAATACAGCGGGAGTACAGTTCTTGCCCAGCCAAATCGAAGAAATAAATTGCAATTTCAATTTGAATACCATACTCATATTTTCGGATATTGATTATTCCTTTATAATTTTTTTCATTTCTTTTAACCAGTGGCATGTGCTAGAATCTGGTTTTAGACTACGAAACTAGTCGGATGGCGGGATTTGAACTCTCGACTATCAGATCAATCTTATGTCCGTATCCCCTACTATACGGCTTTTAACGCCTCGACTGTTAAAAAAAGGTGTTTAATTAAGTACAATTAAAACCGACTTTCGGTGATCACCTAAAGATCGTTTTCGCGAGAATGCCAAAGAATATCATAACTATAATGGTGATGGAACTAAGTGTAATATTAGAAGATCTTAGTAAAATAAAACAAAAAATTGATTTCCATAATGATATGATATAATATGTCGAAAGATAAACATCAAATTAATAAATACGGATAGCATAAACATTCAATGCTTATGAGTTTGATGTATTAGAATAGTTTGGGGCTTATTTCTGGATCCGGGTCAGGATAGTATTGAAGTAAATCCGCAACTGGAGCTTCTTGGTCTTCATAAAAATCACATGCTAACAAGTATTCTCTTTTAGAATAGTCGTCCCCTTTACAAAACATTTCACCTGAAATATCATTTATTTAAGGTACAAGATAAATAATAAAAACTTACAAACATGGTAACTATATTTGAGCTTTGTTTACGGGGACTTTACTTCCAAATTATTAGGAGTTTAGTCGATTTATCTTTGCTTGCAGATGTCAACACGTTCATTCGGAGACAGTACCTTCTATATCCATAATATGAACAGGGCTTTTTGACTCTAGCGCGCCAACGCAATAATGCTCCTCGGTCAAGTCTGGGTGCCAATACATGATTGCGTCTCTACACGAACTCCCAGCAATAGGCAATAATATTCTATCCTATAATATAATAATGATTAACGAAATGGTAGTGTTAATGACAAATACTTGCTTTACACAAATTACTTACTTTGCATATTATTTTATTATTAACAATTGGCTCCTTCACTTCGCCAGTGCAAAAAAATTTACGCTTCTTCCTCATTATAACAGTGCTAATTTCTAAAACTGTTTTGATACTGTTACCTAGAAATAGACTAGGCATTAAATTTGCATATCATTATTATTGTTTTCGTTTAAGTTTGGAAAAACTAGGTACCTTTTTCACCATTAATTGCTTCAAGCTCTCGCATACCTCTCACTTGTGTTTCCCTACTGTTTTGTTGTTTCATATAACTTGCTAATCTATACATTGCGTCTACGAACTCATCTATGGGACCTGAAGAACAAATAAAATGAAAATAGATGAAAGTTATAAGAACCAAAGTTCGCGAATGCTAGTTATGTAAAATAATAGTACTTACCCGTACCAAAACTGCCTCCGTCTAAGTAATTAAGGAATTGATAAAATCTCAAAGCTTCATCCGATTCTATTTCATCCATAACCGGTCGCTGTAAGAGTATTTGTGATATATCAACTAGGCTAGGTCTGAGCGGAACAGCTAGTGTTTTAATATATTTTACATTTAGCGATGATACTAAAGGGGCAGGGTTGGGAGAAGGGGGCAGACTTTGTTTCATTATTAATCGTATTTTTATCTACAACTATACGCTTATATTTGCACTAGGTTTGCCAGGATTCAATCCATCCACTGTTGCTTTCCAAGACAGTCCATTGAAGAACAAAGAATTACTGAACTTACAAACTTTCCGCTCCATGCTCCAACATCAGAATAAAGGGAATTAATTCTGCTCGGCATCCAATCCAAAGAAGATCGGGCGATTAATACAGGATGCTGAAAAGTTTATGTGTCAGCTACAACTTGTGTGATGGAAGAAAAGAGATAAAAAGAAATAGCGAAGGAGAAAAAAGTCTGACATTACCATGGAAGCTAACTTCCCATCTCCACATTTTAAAAACAAAAAAATACTTAGCAATGAAACAAAAAACAACATTGTAGAAATACTACGCCTGACACTTAACAGGTAACAAGTTCGATATAGAAAACCTCATTGATGTGTGGAAACCAATAAACAACATAAATAGCTTGTTAAGTTTTATTGACTATTAGAGGGTTTACAATTTTTAATTGGCGAAAAAATCTACGCTTGTAATAAACTATTGTACAATGAAGGCCTAAGAAAACGTTTCGTGCTGGCCCTTTTCCCCAAACCTAACCGTAACTGTTGTAGCTAATTGATGTTTAATAAATGACTGCAGCTGGAATATAATGGAAGGGACTATACAACTAAGACTTTGGGGGGACATTTATCGGGTAAGAAGGAAATAAAAAACTTATAAAATATACTATTCTATATTTCAAACTGAAATTATAAACAATTCCTAACAGGTGAGCACATGATTATAGTCAAATTGACTTTTAATAAATATATTTTATCAACTATCAACATCACAGATTATGTATTAAAACTGCTGAGTGGATCAAGCCTCTGGCACAATGCAGTCCGAATCAGCCGCACTAGATGGCGGGCACATCGCATGCGCTGCCATAATGCACCGATCTTCAACTTTCAAAAAGTCAATATTAAAAATATTCGGTAACAATTTCGCGAGGTTTAAAAAATTACTATAATCATAAATTTTTGTTCAATGACATTGTTTATTAACAATAATAACATAATATTTATATTAATACCTTAAAATCGTATTCTATTCTTAATTGTACATAACGCTTATTCTACGGAAATGCCACATCGCTTGACATAGAATCTCACAGCTTCGAACAACTCATTTCATTAGTTCCGCAATCCACAACCGTCACTAAATTAAATTGCTTTTCAAATAACATTTGCATTTTGTAATTATAAAATATACAATTTCACTAATCGGCAAGTCTGCCAGCGGGCCTCTATGTACGACGAGGCTTTAGTTATATAAAGAGATAGGGACAGCTACACTAAACACAATTACTTACATTATATAAATCAATACTCTAGGTACATAACCTATTATTGCTGCATTGTTGCTTACCATTGTTATCTATACTAGTATTATAAATATTTGTATTTTATTATTGTATTTATTGTAATAACTCAAAAACTACTGGACTGAATTTAAAAATTCTTGCATCATTAAAAAGCTACATTACATTATTTTACTATTATTTAAATTACACGGGGCAAAGTCGCGAGCAACAGATAGTTTTCTTTTAAAACAACTGTCTCACTTTGTGTTGAAAATTGGATGAATGTCATGAAAATACCTTAACTAACATTACAAATAAAACATAGCTAATCTAAACTCAAATAAATAACAAGTTGCATGTACCTCAACAATTATTATGCTCAATATTGGCGAACAATAAACGTCGTCAAATATTGCTTGTTAATACAAGATTCGTTTAAATCTTAACGATTCTCTGTGAAATTTTATATGTAAAAAAACATGTATTGAGGTAAATTCCATTTGTAAAGGAATGAAGTTGAAAGCTATTGACTATTTCTATTCTGTCCGACCCATTCGCAATTTGTACTTAGAAGGCGCCACGGACAATTTTGCACAAAATGGCACTTTCCTATCTGTCTCTCTCTCTAGCATTTGTTCAAACGTTTTTTACGGTGCTAAGACTGTTTGGTTAAAAATCTCAGTGCTATTAGCAATAGAATCATGTCCGTGTCCGTGACCGGAAAACTTGACAATGATGCCCTCTAGGGAGGTCCAGGTACCGACAACTAGTCCGAGTGTACCGAATAGTACTACGATTGAGTTCTTGATGATCATCCGTATACGCTCTGAATCGGATACGTAGTACCAGTAGGTACAACTTTGGATGAAAGCTGGGAAGGCCAACCCCAGCGCTGAGAGGCATAGGGCTCCGAACAACGAGATAAAAAGATCCAGTTCTGGTACCGCTGCCGCAATCCCGACTGCAAACAAATTTAGTAATGTAAAAGTAATGTAGGTGTAAACCTGAATTTATGGAGACTAGATTTAGTACTTTACTTTTTTAATGCATTCTTAGTTGGTCAGGTTTGATGTCTACAGTCTATTGCAATTATATTAACGCAAATAATAAAGAAATATCCCTATTTGTGCGTCCCTACTGCCTCTATTAAAGGTAGGCTAGGCATTTGCAATTGCAGAGGTCATTTCAATATTTAGGTGAATTCAGTTGCCGGCTTGCTCGTTAACCATATAATACAAGGAAAAGAAAACATACATGTAAGCAGAACTACGAGCGTCCTCATGACGTACTCCCAGAGTGTGCGGCGTGCGGAATGTATGCGAGGTCCGACGTACTCGCCCCACAAGATGTCGATGGCCACGTAGCACGCCAGCCCGTGTGTTATGAAAATAGCGAACGCCAGCAGGCATTGCACCACACTAGCCAGGCTATAACAAACAATTCAAGTATAACTATAATGAAACACATTTGTTTACACCTCTAGCAAGGCTTTTTATCATTTCTGATGCCTGATTCTTCCTTATTAAAGTCTCAAGTCTACTATTTATTACTAATTCTATGATAGTTTTGTTGGGACTTTTTGTTATTTATATTTTAATCTTGTTCAGTTAGACTGTGTTCAGCTATATAGTAAGAAAATGTAATAAATGCTTTCGTAAATAACGTACATTTCAGTTTCAGATGGTAAATTAAGCGTAATGCTGCCGGCGGCGGCGTTGCCGTACTGTAGGTAGCCGAACAAGCCCATACCGACGTATAGAATGATGATGCTAATCATAGCGCGGTTGAGGACACCGAACTTTCCTACGAAGGCCTTTGGGGTCTTCATTTCGTTCTCCAGCGGCAGAATCTAAATAGAAATAAAATGTTACGTTTCGGCATTAAAAAAGTAAAAAAAAAACAATTGATTATAACGATTTCATACTAGTGACAGATGGTCATTTAATCTTATCAGCATTTTTGAGCACAAAATTAATACCTAGTCGGTATAATTTTCTTTATATCCAGTAGGGATAAATTAAACTATCTGCATAATCCTATCAACTTACCACACCGATAGCTTCTAACGCGAATAGTACAGTTCCGAAGAAGAGTGGAAAGTCTCCGATTTTGCCAGCTGGTACTTTGCCTTCTAATGTAGGTGTAACTCTGAATATGTAATAGAGGATGATTCCGAAGCTGACGATAGTAACGGCGTTCGCGATGGCGGAGAACGGCGCGAGGTATTTGAGGTCTCGCACCCAGTTGATGAGTATGAGAGGCACGAGAATCCATAACATGACCTCAGTCACAGCCACATCCATTCCGAATTGCTTCGACATCACGAACTGAATGTTCTCAGATACAAACACCACGTACACGCAGCAAGTACCAATTTGATAAATTAGTAGAAATGCGTTGACGACGTGCCTGCAAAGAAAACAAATATAAGTCAAGTCATAATACAAACAATAACACTTTTCGCTTTATTTGCAATTGTTAAGTCTTTACTATTAAATGCTTAAAACAAGTAATCTCTTTCCAATGGGCAGCATTAAATAAAATTTCTGTCATACCCTTGATCAAGGGTTGACGTGGAATTTTATTTTTACAATATCTGAATTAATGCCACTTCAACAAGCGTTTCCCTGTGGAATCTAAAGACTCCAACAAATATCTCAGTTGCAATTAAAACAATATGTTTTTATTGTTCTCACAGAAATAAGCACTAATTCGTATTATGAATTTTGCATCTTCGTTTCTCAAGATTTACGCGATTACTAGTAGTACAAGTACTAACGCGGCATAAGGTGCGCAGGCCTTGCACCAGTCGGGGCCCTCTGATAGCGCCGCCTCCGCTGCGGCCGTGTAAGTGAGCGACGGTACCTTCCGCCGCTTGCACAGCACGTAGCAAGAGTCCATCAGGACGTGGATGCAGTAGGTGCACAGGACGCCGATCACGACGGTGCCGATCGCGCCCACCACGTAACCCGACTTGGAGAAAGCGTGCGGCATCGCTAGAATACCGGTTCCTAAACTGCCCTTCAGTAAATGTAGCAGTGTTTCCGTGTTCCTAGAAAAAATACATATAAAAAGTTATTAAATGAGCTCTGCTAGAAGCTTAAAATCGACTAATAACAATTCTATATCTCAGTTATCTCTGGCTTTTTTAATATAGTTAAAAACCTTTACAAGAAATATTAGGTTCCATTCCACTTAGTTACAATCTTTAATTAAATTAGTGTTGACTTCCACTTACATGACCTATATACTTCTTTTACTAGATTATGGTCACCATTCTAATGGTTATTATTACTACTTCCTACATTTATGTCTACGGACATGGATTGCTATTTTAGTTTTATGATTTTGCAAGATTATGTGCGTCACCTTTGTTCGCCGACAGATTTCCTGGTTATAATTCATGTACCGCTGATAAATACCTGGCATAACTATTTCCATATACGATAGGTACTACAGAATAGGCTTAACAAAAGAAACAGTAGTTAGTTTGATAGAAAATCAGATTGAGTATAAAACGGATTTGAAAATGCGATGAAAATGACATTAATTTTATTTTAGGTTGATTTATTTCAAATATTTCTAGAATGTCTCGTACTTCAGAAAACCTGATGCTTTGACCGTAAGTAGTTGGACAGTGGGATGATGATGTATTTTGCAGATTGATTATTAACTGTTCATCAGTGGAGTTGATCGTGTACACATTTATGATGATGTTATAATTATGTTAGTTATTTTAATTTTTGTACATTCAATGTACAAAATAGTAATAAACTGTGAGATCTGCTTGGTATGCAGGTCACAAACGGTATGTCTTGAGAAAAATTTCCGTAATTTATTGCATATAGGATACCTCACCGTCATACGTATTACGAAATGCGAATCTATTAACAGAGCCATATTATCTTATAGTTAACCTCAGAAACATTGATTCTTGCTATACGTATATTTACCAGAACAATACACACATAAATTAATAAATGTATAAAAGAAATTGCGAAAGTTTGACTGTACTGATCCTTGTTAGAAAGTAATCACATAAAAATCTGATCATCTTCAAAGTTGTTGATGTTTAAATTTGTTCATGAACAAACAAATATGTATTAAATAACAGTAAAAGTACATATGGCCTGTTTGTAATCTACGTTTAAGCATTCCTTAGTGTTTTCGATAACTAGATGAAGTGCTTTTCTGAACTACGTAACTTGAATTTTACTCCGTTGAAGCCAATGATAAAATAAATGAAAACTTCAAAAACCCAGCATTACTCAATGTAATAAAAGTGGGAATGTTCTAGCTCCATATAATTTCCGTACGTAGACCTTTGAGCGCCATTGTACGTTTATACAATATTAATTATTTCCCATCGACTTCGCTTTATTGTCACTTCCTGGAAATGAACGATAAGGAAAAGTCCTTGTGGTCCATAACCAAAAGCAAAGATAGTTTTAAAGGGCCGATACTCATCGCTACTACTAGTGTAGAGTAGACAGGAAGAAGATTGCAATCATTACAAAGGTTAACTGGCTCCATCGAGTTCAAATTATAAATTCCCTGCGCTCATATGTAATTTGTCATTTACAAGGTCGATGCAAGGCAAAACTACCAACTATTAATAGTAACTAGAATAATTGTTTTGTTCTGTTTGTTAAATTTCAACTTAATTTGGCTATGTAAGATATAATAAATTAGCTGTCGCGAGCGATTCCGTCCGTGTGAAATTAAAATTAAAAAAAGTTTAGTAGTTTATGTGTTCTTTTAAACAAAAAATGCGAACTATTTTTGATTACTGTTGTCTTTCAGGTGACTAATGCAACAAACTTTTTTTTAAAACATTGGTTTATGGTTAGCAAAATGTTTCTACCAGTGATTATAATAATACTCACGTGGTCGGATGATCCACCACTCTGTTCTCATATGGTTCATATTCTTCTACTTCTTGGGCGTTCTTCTCTGTCATGCTTACGAGGAATATCCCTTTGTCTGCTCCTGGTGCCTTCTTTTCTTCTTTCATTGGTGATAGACTGCAAACAAAGATAAATTGACGTGAGAAGGGTAGGTTTTCGGAAAAATGCACCCGTAATATTTCTGAATAAACTGATTGTTATTTATACATGTTACTTAAAATTAATCTTGTTGTTATAAAGTACGAACATTATTAACATTAATTTAGTGAATGACTGAATAACAATTGGTCGTATAGTACAGTTTCAAAAGGTAATTCTTCAAATTTAGTATGGACTGACAGACAACTGTTGCAAGAGTTGCATATTTATGCGTTGAATGACATTTGAATGCTTTTCTATGTAAAGTAATTAAAACTACGAGTACAACGATTAATAAATTATTAAAACAAATTCATATCAAAACATGACAACGTTTTGGTACATTTTTAGTTTAAATTATTGTAGCACCTTTTATTATGGATGGATGGATGTTTGTTGGAGTTTGTAGCTTAAACGGCTGAAGGGATCTCAACGAAATTTAGAGGATGGACTGGAAGAACATACAGGCTACTTGCTTTTGTTTCTTATTCCACGCAGAATGAGTCGCAGACGAAAGCTAGTGTTTATACGAGTAATATTTGTAAGTAGCAACTTTTAAAAACACATTTTGATGTTGCTTCGTGATTTATGTTGCTGAATTTGCTTTATCATAAACAAATGTAAATTTGAAAGACAGCCAAGATATCATTCATATATTTCAGCGAAAGGCTTCATAAGCGTATAATTGTATTACAATATCAAGAAACGATCACCTCATTCTCATTCTATATATTTTTAACTTATTCTTTCTACCTTTACGTGATGTATAAACCTAAAGGTGTTCAGATGAATGGCTGCCAAAAAAATGAATGCCTGTGTCTTAGTAACTGATCGTCGGAGTGAACTACTGTTAAATCCGCTTAAACAAGCTTTGGTGAGCAAATTCGAACTACGATGCAAGTTATTGCATGCGATAACTATTCAGGGCGATTGAACATTCCAACCATCGAACATCAACGCCCGTACTTGTCATGCAAATTACTAGTACATATTCGATGTTTATCGGTATTTTATTGATATTTATAGGAGTTTACCTTGCGGGTGCAAATTCGTCTGGTTCGAAAGACGGGTTGACCATGAGACCGGTGTGCCGTCGCGCCCATTCTGCCGCCTCCTGCGCAAGAAACGAATAAGTAATTAAAATTAAATACAACCTTAATTGCATTTTCGTACACAAAGGTATACCGCTACCATTTATAAAATGAAATAGTAGACAGTATTTGTATTGTCCGGCAAACAGGTTCCCTGAATATTGTAGAAATTTTCAAGCTATCTTTGTTGTTATCACTTATAACTAATTTAAATGTATTTAACATTACATACATAGGACTTCTCTAAAATAAAAATAAAAACTCGCCAACGCACTAACAAGTAGCGAACAATATGATAAAAACCTATAAAATGATTCGATTGAAAGTCTGATAACAGCAAAGAAATATTGCAAAATACGTCTCATAAAAGTAATGAAACGGAATGAAAACTTTGTAAAAAACTTATAAAAGAAGCACTACATCCCTTAACATGGATGAATACCGTATTCTAAATATGGTAAGAGATTAGATTATTACTGTAGAGACTCAGTTAATATTGTAGTTATTCTCTGGTTTGTCCAAGAGGATGTAAGGGGTGACAATATCTATTGATACAAGTGTCACTGCAATTGACTTCAGGGGTAATATTGTCATTATGTCATTGAGAATTTGCAGTCGATTGAAACACCGGAGGTAGCCGGGAGGTCTGCGAGAAGGCGACGGGCGCTGACGCCTAACGAGTCGCATCCTGCGATTTGAGTCTGTCGATGTCTATGCAAATGTCTCAATTATCATCATATCACTGGTCAGCGGCGCGGCGGCTCAACAATGCACTGACATTGTAATGTCGTTTAGTGTGCTTGTAGTAATGCCCGCAAATTTGCAAGCGGATGCACTGACACGATGCACATCCGCTTCAAATCTCCGCTATGCTCCAATTCAATCAATTACCTTCGAAGTACTCTGCGGTGACAATCGTAGCTATTGAATACATCATCTCTTTGAAACACCTTGACGAAGCAGCGACTACTACGCGTTACTGATGTCGCAGCCTATAGTTACTAAAGATGTCCAATACAAAAGCTAATAACTATGGGCTTTAAACAGATATTTGATTGATAACGATTAAGCTCGTAACTTACAATACGTACGTGGACACATTTGAATCATGGTACGTATGCTAAATTTACACTGTTTTTGCAATAAACTCGACCGTTTTCGGTTTTATGGCAAACTTGTTATTCAACGCGACCGCTTTTAATAACTTATTGATACATGGATAAGATCAGGATTTAGTTCTCACTACGCGAAATCGGTTTCGAGAATCGATTTCAGAAAACGTGCAAGGATTTTATAATATCGTATCGATTACAAAATTTGTACGGTACGTACAATATTTAAATTTTATTTTTTCCTCAAAAAACGACAGTGTTATAATTGTCACTAATGCTATAAACGTAAACGCCGGGGTGTGGTTGAATATACAAACTAACTCAAAACAAATAACACAAATAAAAAAAAACAACATACAGACGAATTGAGTACCTCCCTCTTTTGGGAAGTCGGTCAAAAACAAACATAGACGGCAAGGCCCGGTAATACTAAATGATGCATTAACGTTCTGGACATAGAGAAATAAACCCACCTACTTAATATTGGTAAAACAAGGTTTACAAGAAAACATTACCAAAATATTTGAGTTGCGGCGTAGACCACAGAATGCATTATCGTACGATCATTCGAACATATTAGATTTAGTCATTTCACATTGTAACAATAACAATGGAATTGAATCTACAACCGTGAAGATATCAATAGTTTACACTTAAGACCTTTCACTTCTAATACTGTTCTACAGAATTTACATCGTTCTACAGAAGCATCGATTAGCTTGTGGTGGTCTATTGGTAAACCGAAACAGACTGCATACGAAGGCATTTGATATCACTTACAATTTGGGTAAGATAATATTAAAATCACTATGACATAGTGACATATACGGCTCTCGTAATTAATTGTAATTTGATACCTAAACTTTTCTTCCTAAAATGCCACAAGAATAGGCAATCGTTTCACAGTTTAGATTTATTACTCATAATTTATTCGTTGACTACAAGACATGTATCGTCACCATCGTGTTGGCATCCGTACAAGAAACAGTCGGTTCCTACGGTAATCCTGTAGGAACTAGTACGGTTTTAGTGTTGTGTGTAGAGTAACTATTGAGTTTGTTAGTGTTTGGGCGAGAGCCAGCGCGGGCACGGAAGCGCGGCGTGGAGTTGAAGGTCGGAGCGGGACGAGGCTGGCTGACTCCTGATCCCCCGCCCAGCAAACTTCTATTATTCAAGTATTTCACGTTTTTAGAACAAAATCAATTACACTCTTTTATTACATATATGTAAAACATTTAAGGCACTGGAAATTTCTGATAGAAACTTTAGCTATGGTATGAGTTTGGAGGGATACACTTATAAAGGTAGACTTAGAAAGAGATGAATGGATTGTAAGACGACATGATCAAGAAGGGACTGAAGACTAAGATGAGAGATGATTTCGAAAGCCTGTTGCGTTAACACCACAGTAGTTAAATAAGGGGTAGAGAGGGGGGTGATATGATGATATAATTAGTTTTAATAGATTTATATATGTGTTCGTATACTTTCAGCCGCTATCCGAAAGAATTTGAACAATTCGTATATGCCTTAAGGTGTTATGTAACTACTGTGGAAATTTACCGGAAAAATTACTAAATGACTGAAACTAGTTATTTCCGTGTTTTAGAGTTGGCAATGAAATTTGGGCGCCACTTTTCTTTTTGGCGGACTATTAGTAAACAAGCTAAAATCACGTTAACTATAGTTATGTAAATATGATAGCTTATTTTCAATAGTTTAAAAGAATGACCATTTTAAACGTAACTTATTATACACATAAATACTCTGTACTTATTCATAAATAATTTCTCGTGGACATGTCAAATCTAACACCACCCCAGTGTTGGTCCTCGTTATAGATGGTATAAACATATCTAATAAATAAACCTTATACGGTAAGATGTACATAATGATTCCATTAATTTACATAATGTATTCACTGTTGTATACACTACTAATATACTCGATTATAATTGTTTAAAATAACACTGTTTTTATATAAATCAAATAATAAAGTTTATGAAGCATGTTTCTCTTTTTAAGTTTGTCAGTCAATAGTAACAGGGGTCACTAGCTTTCTTTTTCATCATCAAATCAACGTATTGACATCGATGATGACATTCTCGTCTTTATGGTGTGATGTAAGCCACGTGCCACTGAAAAGGGCTTTTTGTGCTAATCAATACTGTACATATACTTGTACCAAAACATGCTAAATTACTTCTAAGTACATATGACTATGAAATGTTGTATTTTGTCATTCACATGCTTATGTGTGTGCGTGTGGCCTTCATAATGTATATGTTAAATAAGATATGTACAGGTATTTTTCCATTCGCATTTTAATCAATGAAGACTACTATTAGCAGTACATATATATGTATAAGATAGGTTTCAAGTATAATGAACACGAACAGAGGAGATTAACTTCATAACCCGTAGTCGATTTGATTTGAGTTGATTGAAGATTTAATACGAGAAGTGAGGGATAGTTTAGGATTAAGAAACTTTGAGTGCGACAGATGGATTGTTTGGTTTTCTTTAATAACAGTGTCTTCTGATAGTTGCAAGAGAGATTTAAGACTAGATAAGAATGATTTGTCAATTTGTAAGTTTATTCGTTTGTAGCATACAAATTACGGAAAGACTTTATTTTCTTACAACTTACGATGGATCTAGAATGAATATAATTCAGAATAAGTACATATTAAGGTCATCACGATATTGAAAATTACAGATGTCAGTCACGTTCCAACATACCCTATATTATATTCCCCTATGGGTAGAACATACGGACACGTGTTCTGCAGCCAGTGGTAGCTGTTAGCTGTCACACCGATGGTGTCCCGTCGCGTGCCAACTGCACATTACTGTAAACTATCTGACGCATTCGTATAAATAGTTCTGTAATCATATTTCGTACTATTGCCAATTCTTCACGGAGTACTTTATAGTTGTTTAAGTTCAGACAAGCACTCTATTCCTAGAGACTGTTTTTGAACAATCTTTAGACCATCATGTTTGTAGAAATATCAATGAAGATGTTATAGTTTTTACCCGACTTCCATGATGTATTTCCTCTGTATGTTTTTTCTTAATTTAAGTTGAAAAACATATGGCATTAGGACCGGTATTTTTAAAAAGTAACCGTTGTTATGAAATGTATAAATAGGTCATGATTGTTACAACTATTTAGAGATGGCCAGAATACTATTAAAATGAATTATCTCATTGTATTGTACTAATACTATCCCGATATTGTAAGCGGCTTTTGCAATTATCTTTTTTCAGTTATAGACAGTGCTTATTAAGTATATATAGTTCGCATTCAAAACAAGTTTGGCACTACCAGGGTTTTTATGTGAACTTTTTTTTTTGCTATTTATCAATGTCAAGAAACGTACATGTGTTTTTTGTAACATCAGCAACATTAAAAATATTCTGGTTTGCGTGTGTTTTGGCAGGTCGTGCATATTTGGCGTCAGAGCCGCGCCTCCCGACTTTTTATTTTAGTCACAACAAATATTTCGACAAAAACCAACCAGACGACAGATTTTTCCAAACAGTTACAAACTATGACAAGCTTTGATTCAATTTATGTGGCTGCAAATTTAATTGGATTTGAAATACAGTCTGTCTTACAACAATCAGTTATCGAGTAAAGATGTTGTTAGACCAACTGAAGTTAAGCTTATTATTACCACGCCACGGTAATTCAGCAAGAGCTAATAAAGAACAAATTTTGAATTATTAAAACATTTTATTAAAAAAATGTGAAGTTTATAGTTTCACTTGAGTAATTGAATGGGCAACTTTACGGCGCACCCGCTATCCAGCGCAAATTATATTTTGTAACTAGTTACAGGGAAGTGTTATATCGTAACGTTGGTCCATGCCATGCCGCCTGTTTACTTGAAGCTGTATACAGG